AATAATTGTTAGAGTGTCTCTTATACATTTAGGAGAGATACATAGCTTTACAATAGCTTTATACACTGGCTGAAAAGCAAAGTTTTTAATTGAAAGTTAAAATATTTCCCATAAAATTTCCAACAAGAAGAGATCTCTTCTCTTCTTCATTTAGTTTAATATGCAAGATTTCTGCAAGCACTATGAAACATCAAGGCCTACTGTCTTTCAGCCTTAGTCTCCATCACTTATCCAGCACCATTATTCTGCTACAGATGGTCCTTGCTGACCAATACTTAGGACTTTACACTCCTTGGTTGGAGGAAGGTATTGAAAGGTATTGAGTATTATGGCTAATACTGTATACAGTTCATCACTTGACATCAAGATTCAAGACTTGTCTGTTATGGCATCAAATATTCTGCGAACCAACTGGCAAACATCACTGGCTAGTTCCTGAAGGAAAAAAAAAGTCATATGAAACATGCTGGAATTTCCTTTCAAGTCCAGCTGAAAAGACAGCTGGAATTGCATATATGAAACATGCTGGAATTTCCTTTCAAGTCCAGCTGAAAAGACAGCTGGAATTGCATATAATAAGACTTAGATCAAAAACATTTTGGGCCAAAAACATCAAAAGTAGTTTTTTTCCTTTTGTTTTGGGAGGCAGAGTTGTCTCTCTTTTTCAAACTGAATATTATTTTTTGTGTTCTCTCTTATAATTTGATACTTAAAATAAAGTTTTTCTTTTTTTTTCATAGAGAGTTTATTGAAAGAATGTAGTTTTAAAAAAGAATGCATTTCGAAACTTTGCTTTTTATAAGTAATGGTTGAATAGCTAAATTTTCCTTCAAAGTGAAAAGTAGATTGAATTATTCCTATTTCAATATGTGAATAAAATTGATCAATGCAACAGTGTTTGATCTAATGCAGCCATGCCCAATAAAGTTAATTTCAATTATTGTTGCCATTCATACCTCACTGTGGCATTGGAAGACAAAGCACTGAAACACCTCCTTGTTGACCTGTAGCTGTCCAATTTTTAAAGCAATGTTAGGGCGACCAAATCCATCCTCATACTGGACTACCTCAGCCACTGTGTGGAGTGGGTGTCTCTGTAGAACCTCCTACAAGACATAAACAGACAGGCAGTCAAGCTGCAGATGATTTGATAATCTATACAGTCTTGTTACAACCAATAGAAAGCAAATGAATTCCATTTTGACATCATACATTACAGTCTCATTGATGCAATGTTTACAACAAACTTATTTAAACATTCAGAAATCAGTTGTGTGGTATTTAGAGTGTATAATATTGATAACTTAAAATGCTTTATTTGATTTGAAGCTGATATAAGTTTAAGAATGAAATAAATTGCTTACTTGGGTCCTTTTATTTTGGACTTGTATTCCATGTCGAGAGACGGTAAAGAAAACTTGATCTTTTTCTCCTACAGTAATGGGAATGTCACCTGATATCTGCAATACAAGACACAACATAGTTAATCAGACTGACATTGTTCAATACATAATCCAATACATTATAAATTATAATTTTTCTTGGATGAATCAGACCAGGATGTCAAAAACAACATATCCACAGTCATGTAATCTTTTATAAGAGTTTGATGTAAACCAAGCTACTTAGATCCTACCTGAGCTTCCTCCACCCTGTCTATAAGCTGAGTATTTGTATTCAAATCTATAAGCTAAAGCTAAGCTTCTGTATTAGATCTTACCTGAGTTTCAACCAATCTGCCTATAAGCTGAGCTTCTGTGTTAGATCTAACCTGAGCTTCCTCCACTCTGTCCATAAGCTGAGCTTCTGTGTTAGATCTTACCTCAGCTTCAACCAATCTGCCTATATGCTGAGCTTCTGTGTTAGATCTCACCTGAGCTTCCTCTATCCTGTCTTTAAGCTGAAAACTGTGTTAGATCTTACCTGAGCCTCAACCAATCTGCCTATAAGCTGAGCTTCTGTGTTAGATCTTACCTGAGCTTCAACCAATCTGCCTATAAGCTGAGCTTCTGTGTTAGATCTTACCTGATTTTCAACCAATCTGCCTATAAGCTGAGCTTCTGTGTTAGATCTTACCTGAGCTTCCTCCACTCTGTCTATAAGCTGAGCTTCTGTGTCTCTCTTCTGTGAATTTCCTATAGCTATTTTTTCTATATTTCCTAAATAGTAAACATCAAATGTCTTCTTCTGCATCAAAATGTGTTCTTTTTCTTTCAGTTTCATTGTGTTCTCATTTATCCCTGTCTAAAAATGAAGGACAGGTAGAGGATCACTGGTAAATGTTAAGATTAGCTGAGTTAAACAAAGTGCTGACTTAAAAAGATAAGATATGAATTTTCAGTATATGTATCTGATTTGAATCTTTAAAGTTAAGAATTTCCCTAAATGGCCTCATCCTGACCCAGGAAGGGGGAGGGAGAAGGATAAAAATTGAATCTAATAATGACTCAATAAGGATGCTTTCATTTTAAGTTTTATCTTTTCTGCCCTTGTTGTTCTTGAGAAGACAATTCCTAGATGAATTTTTAATAAGCCGTTCATTTAAACAAAATTAAATCTCTATCAAAAAACATGCCAAATGATGTTTAGTTGCAAAGTTTTGAAGACCCTGGGCTAGGGGTTCAAAAGAAATCCAAAACTTGAAAAGTTTCCATATAAAACACATTGCACACCACATGAAACAGCACCACACACTCTTAACTTCGAGTACCATGGTCAAGGTAAGCTAATAAATACATGATGCAATAGTCTAATACATTACCAAGGAGATGCAGATGACTATTTCTTGGCTAAAACTGGCCCAGTTTCCAAACAAAATGAAAATGTCAAATAACTTTGAGAGACATGCAGACAGACAAATGAAAGATTAACTTTGATCAGAAAAGGTCATTTGAACCACGAACTGAAAATCCTTGTCAAAAAAGTTTCCGATTATCAATTACAGCATCTTCTCATAAATGATATACACCTCAGCCACCTGATTTTTAACTTTTTGCAGAGGCATTCTTGGTAGATATGGCAAGAAATTAGTGCTGACTTTCACCTATGTTCAATTGTAACCCTGTTACAAGACTATTTAATCCAGTAACATAGGTTACATATATCTCTCAATTAAAGATGGTGGTCATTTAAATCCAAAAGGGGTCTTAAAATTTTTAGGTTACACTGGTTACAACTATATTCCATTGGTGATAATCGGTTACAATGGTTACAGGTCATCTAAAACCAAAAGGGGTCTTTATTTTTAGGTTACACTGGTTACAACTATAGTCCTTTGGTGACAATCGGTTACAATGGTTACAGATCATCTAAAACCAAAAGGGGTCTTTATTTTTAGGTTACACTGGTTACAACTATATTCCTTTGGTGACAATCGGTTACAATGGTTACAGATCATCTGAAACTGAAAGGGGTCTTTATTTATAGGTTACACCGGTTACAACTATATTCCTTTGGTGACAATCGGTTACAATGGTTACAGATCATCTAATAACCTAAAGGGATCGGATCTTTATTTTTAGGTTACACTGGTTACAACTATATTCCTTTGGTGACAATCGGTTACAATGGTTACAGATCATCTGAAACTGAAAGGGGTCTTTATTTTTAGGTTACACTGGTTACAACTATATTTTTTTGGTGACAAATCATATAAAATCCAAGTGGGAACTTGTAGATACAGATGTAACCACTGTAACCATTGTAACCAGTGTAACCAATTAATAACTGAATAAATGAAAAATGCTGACCTGTTCACCAGAAGCTGTGTTACTGGTTACAAATGAAGATAAGAACTAATCACTTTGTAACCACTGTAACCAGTGTAACCCTGTAACCTTTGTAACCAGTGTAACCAATGAAAAATGCTGACCTGTTCACCAGAAGCTGTGTTACTGGTTACAAATGAAGATAAGAACTAATCACTTTGTAACCACTGTAACCAGTGTAACCCTGTAACCTTTGTAACCAGTGTAACCAATGAAAAATGCTGACCTGTTCACCAGAAGCTGTGTTACTGGTTACAAATGAAGATAAGAACTAATCACTTTGTAACCACTGTAACCCTGTAACCTTTGTAACCAGTGTAACCAATGAAAAACTGAATAAATGCTCCCCAGTGAAAAGGCTATGTAACCTGTGTTACTGGTTACAATTGAACATAGGTGAAAGTCAGCACTAAATTCTTGCCATATATGATTCTTGGAGGTGTGAGGAAAATACTTTAATCGGTATTTCGAAAGGTATAGAAATGAAGCGGACAACACATTATATCCTATATATCTCAAACTTACACTCGATTTCAGGTTTTTTCTTGGAAACATATCAATAATCAATTATTATATTTTCGATTAATTTTCTTTGAAGGCTTACTTTCTGTTTATCACAGTAAACCTGTCTGGGGTAAACTTTTAAACTCCGGATTTCATAAACAGAGTTCCTTTACCAAACTTTACTATAAAGATTATTCTTGAAAATCTCATGTATTGGAAATCAAATGATTTTTTTAAATCTAACGATTTATTCATTTCCTGCATAAGAATAAAAAGAACAAATTTTTAAAGCAACATTTCCAATCGGGTTCGGTGTTCTCTTAGCGCCATTAGTGCCCTCTAAGAAAAACAATCAAATTTAGAGGAGACAAAATCCCCCAATATTCCCAAGAAATAGTCGCAAATCAGAACACAAACACATTCAATAAAGTGCATTATTATTCAAAGACAAAAATGAGCTGTGAAGACGAAGTCATGAAGATCGGAAAGAAGTTGGAAAAGATGATTTCCAACAACAGTGCCGTGAGTATTCATGCGTGTTCAAGTTATCTCCCGTGTTTTTAGAAACTATGGAAAGGGGGGGGGTGTATTGTTGTAAAGTGCTGCTAGTAACAAATTTTTTACTAACTTGAAATTTCATGTACTTAAATATTTAGCTATATGTTGTATTGTTGGGGATAACATGTCTAAATGTATCCTCGAGATAAAATGTTTTCACCAATTTCAGACTTCAGATCTGAAATGGAATATTTATAATATTTTCAGGACCACGGTGGGGCAGATGATTTGTTAAATAGATTGAAAGACATTCCTATGACTCTCACTGTATTGCAGGTATTGTTAATGTTGTCACATTATAGTTCTCAATTTAATCTTGAGAATATTCATCTGCTTTGGATCAAGAGGACAGGGTTGTTTTCAATATTGATTGTTATATTTTACTAATATAGAAAACTAGAATTGGAATGACAGTTAACAACTTTAGAAAAGCTGCATCAAAGGATGAGATAGTGGTACTTTCAAAGACTTTAATCAAGAGTTGGAAAAAACTTTTGTCCACGGGTAAGAGGCTTAATATTATTGTCATTATAAAAATAGTCTTCTTATTGTGGGTTCTTTAAATGTGTAAAGTTAATTCATTTTCAAAAGAACAATATAATACCCTTGCTCAGAAAAAAAGGTAATCATTGATTTCATAGATTTTTCAAGTAAGACAATGAAAATTAACTTGAACTGTATTGCAATACATACTTACGACAGGATATGTGTATCATGAGCCTTTGCGATCAGTACAATTGATGTATTGCTGTTTCCTTACACCTCTAACCATGGATATGTCAAAGTGATTTAGAATGCCCAACCACCCTTTCCATGTGTATTTTAACTTATATATCTTGAATCCCAGAATATTTCAAAGTTGTTTTTTTATCCCAACAAGTTTGAGATAATGTTTGACTGTAATTGAATAAAAAGAAATTATATTTACCAAATTTCATTTTTCAGATTCCACACCATCAAAACCAGAGAAAAGGGAAAAAGAAAAGGAGAAATCTTCAGGATCCCCTGATCAGTCCGACAATAACTCGGAAATGTCAGAGGCCATGGACAGTCAGAGCAGCCAAGGGAAAACACTGATGAGACAGGACTCTGAGGCATCCATAACTAATGATCCAGTTAGGCTCAAGTGTAGAGAGCTTCTGGCTGCTGCACTTAAACTGGACGATGATAGTAAGACTCTTCTACTCATTAAAGTATCTTTGTATCAATCTGTATATTGCTCTTAAATGTATTTTCATGTAAATAATTGTATTTTCAATACCTTTGACTTTGAATATGTTTTTTTTTGGTTGTTGAATTACTCGGGTGATGTATTGCTACTTGTCTTTATCAGTCCTTTGTAACCTTACAAGTTTCTCCTCTGAAACAGATGAACTACTGTAGTTTTGAGTAATATTTAGAGTGAAAGGGAAGAAATAGGCCTATCCGGGATTTCATGGTAGGGCTAAAGTGGTCATGATTTGAAAAACATAATTTATAAAAATGAATTACATGTATATCTCTGTCTTTGAACATCTTCATTACTCATGTCAAACTGAGTCCACCCTTAAAAATATTTATGTTAGATTACTCATGTCAAACTGAGTCTACTCTTAAAAATATTTATGTTAGATGTACCCCAACCTACAATTTTCAAGGTGGGTAGGTAGGGAGAGTTTTTTTTTTAAGTATGACTAACAATATGAAATTTTTCTTTCGATTATAAAGTAAGTAACTGAAACATTAGAAATTCACTGTTGACTGAAAAGGAAACGAATTTTGTAGCAGAGCAACATGAAAAGATTTTATGTGACAAAAGGATAGCTTATGTTTGAAAGACCATTTAAAAATATCCCGATATAGAGGTGATGTTCAAGCTCCATGAGCTTGTTTTGTAGACTTCATGTTTATAATGCCTTACCAAGATGATATTTTGTTTAACAAACTATAAGTCTCTACACATATTTTCTTTACAGCTCATATTCCCAATGCACAGAGCCCCTTAGAACTTGGAGGAAAGATTGAAGACGGTATCCTTGTCTTGTAGTGCAAAATCAGCAAGCACTATCAAAATATTTATTACAATGAAATATTCATGCTTCAATATGTATTCAATCAAGGGTTTCAGTTGCACATGTTTGTCATAATATGTATTCGTGGAGGATTATTTTCACTGCCATTTCTATAGCTTTGAGATGAATATTTGTTCTTGAAAAGAAAAATGAGAAATAGCTTTTTAAGATTTTATAACTGTCACTTTAAATTTATATATTTACTTTTTTGCTATTTTTTTTTATTTTCAAGATAAATATTATATGTAGCAATGTACAAGTGCATTTTAAAATTTTGTAACTCTTACTAAACCATTGTGTATCATTAGGTAAATATCTGAGACTTTAGGTAATCATTTGTTAATGTTCCAATCCATTTATTATATAATTTGAACATTTTCAGCATGTTCTCTGAAGCAGCTGAAAAATTTCAATTAATTCTCAACAGAATCAAAATAATGAACAGTTTCCTTCACATTAAAGGAAAATAAATATTGACATTTAGATTCTCTTATAGCCTTCATTTACCATATTGTAACTGGTTGAAAAATTTATCCTTGACCTGTATAGTCATATATTTAGAATTTAAGAATACAGAACAGAAATACAAAGCTCGGATCAGAAGCCGTGTTGCCAACTTGAAAGACAAGAAAAATCCCAAACTGAAAGAAAGAGTTATAATGGGGTTGATACCTCCTGAGAGCATTGCAGTAATGACAGCTGATGTGAGTTTCTTATTTAAATTCATAAAATTTCTTTTTGCCTTATACTAAGGGATATTCTACTAGTCTATATAAACAGCAACGGTAAATCAACATTAATCTTGTAATTACCTCGAATTTAGGGCCCTGTATCAAGATGCAGGTACTTTATAATATTGTAACTACCGGTAGTACCTTGAGTAATTACTTCATTTATTACATAAGTGTAGGGCTGGGACGATACAATATTTTCTTTATCGATACGTATCATGATATTTGAGCCACGATACGATATGTATCATGATATGTTGAATTAGCTTTAAAATGTTTTTTTTTGTATTGAAGTGAACAAAACATTTCTTCACAATTAAGAATAATTTATTCAAAGAAGTTGTATATCTGTTGTAAATCAAAATTATTTTATACAAGTGGTGTTTATCATTATGTATTTCATATTTATATTTATATTTTGCATATTTATTTTATATATGTAACCCAAAATGTTAAGTAAACAAAGAAAAAATGTAAGTCAGAAATTTTTTTGCGATATTTCAATATTTCTTCATATGTTTCAATATGTGTATCATCCTCACATTGAATTGATATCATCGATATCTCGATATATCGTCCCAGCCCTACATAAGTGGAGGATGAACAGAGGAAGATAACCCCATTTGGGGGGGGGGGGGGGGCACTTGGTCAAGGTCAAAAATCAAAATAATATTTTTACCATAACATATTTATGTGATGGAATATTATGACATTGTTTAAATTTTATATTTACTACATATGTAGAGGATTGTTAGAGGGCACATATATAAGAATTTGGGGTCACTTTCAGAGGTCAGTTTTCAATACATATAGAAGATCAATGGTCAGAGTAAGACACTAATGGATTTTAGACACTAATGGATTTTTAGTAACTGGTCAATATTGTTCATTTTCCTAATGTACCTTTATGTTGCCAAAAAACATGAGTATTTTTCATTATGTACAATTCATATTCACTGCAAAGCAAAAAGAGACATTTGTACATGTATATATGTTTTGGCCTCTTCCTTCGAGGTCAAGAGGTTAAGATGAAGTGTGGTGTAGGGATATATATGAAGCTGGGAAATATATTTAGCAATCGGTTATCTAAATCATATTTGAAGGAAATGGCAAGTGATGAAATGAAACAGCTAAGAGCCAAATTCACCAAGGAGTCCATTGATGACCATCAGATGGCCAAACAAGAGGGCACTGTCACAGATCTGTTCAAATGTGGAAAGTGTGGCAAGAAGAACTGTACATACAATCAGGTAAGATATACTAGAATCTAGTGTAGGGTGGGTGTTTTCAAGTAAATAAGCTAAGATCTAGCTCCAAGATGAAAATTTAAACAGGTCTTTTGCAATATCTCCCCCCCCCCCCCCCCCCCATTCAAGACCCGTTACCACTCGCAGTTCAACTGCAGATTCTGGATAGTTTGATTTGTGGAGCTTTGTGTCACAAATGATCTTTGTATGATTTCCTGGTCTACCCTACTTCAAGTTTGATTAGATGGAGATGTGCTTCATGCTTAACATACCATAAACAGTGCCTTTGAGTAAAAGCAATCAAGATTCTAACTCAGAAATCAAAAATGAACAAACAGGATTGACTATCCTGACCTTTTTACATATCCTTTTTGTACATTTTTACATGTTCTCTGCAAGGAATATGTCATTTTGAATTGGGCACCATTATCAAGCTTTGTCCAGTTGTTCCCTGTTCTTGATTTATTTAAAATCCTCCAGACTAATCAATGCCCGTTTATATTTTTCAGCTACAAACAAGAAGCTCTGATGAACCTATGACAACATTTGTTTTCTGTATGGAGTGTGGTAATAGATGGAAGGTATGCTACATAAATCTTATATTAAACAATAGAAATGACAATCTTTTTTGAGAATAGACTTAAATACCAGTATCTCAGTGAAAGATGAACTTTAAATTTATCAGTAATGGACATCCGAAAGTATGATCTCGTAAGAAGAGGGTTAAAGTTGCCATTTCTTTTTTCTTTTTTCAGTTTTGTTAACATGAAGATGTGTAAGCTTGTCATATTTGGAAGGACTGTTGGAGATTCAAGGTATTAAAGACAGCAGAAAACAGACATTGTAATCTGGGATTATTTAAGCCACTCTGCTACAGATTCAGAATGGTCCAACCTTCATTTTCATCTGTAAAATAATCATACACATTCACCATTTTGTACAGGTTTTCTATTCCCTTGGTTTTCATGTCATGCATTATAATTTTTCTCATGTAGATTCTCATTTTCTATATACATATGCTTGTTGAAGTTCATGGTAACTTGTCTCTGTGTGATAAATGGTCATTTTTAACATTTTGGTTGCAAGAGTGCTATATTGCATTAAAAAAAATAAGAGTTTTGAACTGTACATAGTTGATTTTTAATATTTACTTTCTTTTGGTAGATTATATTGTTAAAGTATTAAGGTGTTTTGAAGAAGGTTGAAAGAACTTATATATGGCTGTTGAATTCTGACTGTATCAGAAACTGATAATCAAATTATCAGAATTCTGATATTCAAATATTTCTCATTTAGAAGTATGTTATCCAAAATCAGTAATAATTGTCAAAAAATTCACATCAAGAATAGAGAATATACTCATTTTATTCAATTTTGTAAAGAAATCACCTCTGAAAGCTACATGTACTTTGTGTATCATAAAGGAACTTTAAAAAAATACTAATCCTGGTAAAAATTGGGTTTAAAAAGATGTCTGATATTTCGGGGGAAGGGATGGATAACTGTTAAATAGCAGATTTTCACTTACTTGACATTGGTTCCATTTCATCAGAGGTTCTGCTATTTTATATTGCTTATATAAAGATTCATACTACATGGTGTGAACAGAGACTTATAATGTTGCTAAATGTCCTTTTTGTTAAGATTATTTACCCTGTACAAACAGTGGAATGTACACTTAATTTATAATAATGTTACCAGATGACTTGTTATCAATAAAGAAGTGTCAATATGAATACAACCAGAAGTTACTGTGCTTGATGTGGTCTGCATATATATATGGCCTTTGCTACAGTGAACTTCAGTTTCTTAAATACCATAGATACCAGGGTATGTTGAAGTGAGTTGGAAGTCCATCCACTTTTATGTATTTTAACCTCAAAATAATGAAGTTCTTTTTCCTTGGTTCTACTAAGTTCCACATGACAAGGTTTAATTGTCATATATATAATAAAATGTTGAACTGCCAAAGAAATAACCAAGAACAGTTTAAAGTTTATTACACTAAATTTGCTTCAACCATAAAATATCTGTAGTCTTCACAATTAATGAAACGGCTACTGAACTGAGCAAATATAATACAGTATAATGCACTGGTGTCTGCTAATAAAAAGATCCATAAAAAATAGTCATGAACAGGAATAATAAGTATATACAACATGTAAAGTCATCCAACTTCTACCAACAAATGTCAGTTAAGTATTACAAAATACAGGCACGTGATAACATGTTCTTCAAAAAACAAATAATGGCAAAAACATGATTGATTCTTAAGTAACGTTAAAATATGAAGATGTAAAAGTCTCTGAAAATTGCAGAACAACAATCAAAAATAACATGAACAATAAACATGATAAGTGTATAAAAAGTGTCATTTTGAAAACAAAATTCCCTGCTTGTAAGGGTAGATTACTGGCGCTGCCAGACGGTGACTTGAGCATTTAGCTCCCCTTCTTTGGCTGTGTATTTCAGATCCTTGGTTTCTTTGAATACCAGTCTAAAATTAATCATATAGAAAATTAAACAATACAATCTGAAGTTATTAATAGCATAATTGAACAATGGTAGATTTAGGGGGGAGGGAACAGGCCCCCTTTTGTGACCAAACATTTAGGAAATATGAATAAATGATTTATTTTTTGTTAGGCATTGCTTTTATTACTAGTATACAAAAATGGGCCTAAAATAACTCACAAAACTATTCTAAAAACTACCTAAACCTTGAGCTTCCAGGGATATATTTCCATTTAAAACATAAAAACGAAGTACATGTTACAAATTAACGTGAAATAATTCTTACTTATTTCCAAGAAATGGGGCCAGATTTTCTTGACTCCATTCAGCTTGCTTGGAGACGATGACAACAATCCCAGACTTCACAGTGATTTCCCATAATCTGGCCAGCCATGCTGTGATAAAGAAAAATAGTTTAAGTCTGAGGAGGAGTCAGTGTTTTACTAGGGTATTTAGAATCAAATCTGGGGAGGACTAGCATATCCCCATCCTAACCATTCTTGGTGATGTACTTAGGGACATAGTATCAACCCCTAACCCCCACTTTTTTGCTATTAATTTAGTACGCGAGTTTTTTTATTGAAAGCTCCCCCCCTTTCTTGTTGTATGGTTAAACTCTCCCACATTACTGTGTCAAAAAAAAAAAAAAATCGAAAAGAAAGCCGTGGGAATGCCCCCCTCCCCACTCTTTTTTAAACTTTGGGGGGTGTCAGTTTTATTTTTTTTTTAAATTCCCAATTATTTTCTGCCTGCCTTCCTCCCTTTGAAAAGTGATGCTACATGCCTGGCTTTATTGTTTAAAAAGAATTGTGCAGGAAAATATATACATGCCATAGAATTTAGCCACCCTCGCATTTACTATAAGATTTTTATACATACTTTTGTGCTTATATGAGCGATCATAAAAAGAATCAGTGGTAAGCAACTTTTTTCTGTATGCTAGTAGTTTATTAACTTCCAGAATCGTGTAAGGATTTTCATTTCACCAGAATGGCAATATTTTTGGAATGTGTCTAATACGATGACGTATCAGCAACCCACATGTGTAAAGACAGCAATAGCATCAAAAACCACCCCAAGGATAAACAATGAAGCTAGGAGCACAATGTTTACCCCAACCAAATACAAGAATGGGTTAGGTTATTGTCTATCTGTACAATATTGTGGTGTTGACTCTTTCCACAACTGTGTAATCCCAAATGATATCTTGAACACATGTGGATTCAAGCAGGGGTGCTCCTGGTGTGCACCCCCACTAAAAAGAAAAAAATCATGGAAACTTGTTCACCATCATACATTGATGTAATAAGGATAGATGTGCTAAAATGAGGTTCTTCAAATTGCTGATTCTCAGGAGCTGAGAGGACTTTGCCACGGGGCCCCCAAAAGGACACTGTCCCTGACTCACTGATAGACCATGGTACAAAGACCCCTTGCCAACTGATTAAATAGTGCCCCCTCTAACTCAATATCCTGGATCTGCGCCTGTCTAATAATCTTGTTAATAATGGATATGAAGGTTAAAACCTGTCAGAGGATGATAGTCTAAGCATATAATGGAAAATGGTGTCTTACTAGTAAATATCTGACCATATATGTATATATATATAAATTGTGCAACTTGTAAAATGGACATTTTAAACCTCATCTGCAACAGAAGTTTGACCAAAAAAAAATTGTTGCTTTGCTGCCTTCAATGTTCTTTGTTTATTTAATTCTGGACTGTTCAATAAAACAATTATGCATCTGCAACAGAAGTTTGACCAAAAAAAAAATTGTTGCTTTGCTGCCTTCAATGTCCTTTGTTTATTTAATTCTGGACTGTTCAATAAAACAATTATGGACTTTTTAAGTGGTGAATACTGTTTGATATTAACCAGAAAAATATCAAACCTATTCAATACCTGAAAAGCTCATAACAGTTAAGTATTACATATAAAGGTAAGCAACTTAAAGTACTCATGTGGATATAAGCAAAGGCCTTGAAAATGTTATTATCCACAGCCATAAGATTTAAAATCTCTGTGAAATTTCTTTCTTTCTTTCTTTCTTTTTTTTTTCATATTCCAATATTATATTTTGGAATTGACAAAATTTTTACGACATCTATAAAATACACTGTACTATTAATGCATTAATATGAAGTCATCATAGATGACTGATCTGAAGTCCAAAAGCATAGTTTTAGGTTTTAGTTTAAAACTATTACTACTGTATGGAAGAAAACAGTCATCGTTGTCTTTTCTTACCTTTAGCATTCATAGTTCTGTCCAGGAATGTGACAATGGTCATATTATGATCGCAAATTTCATTGGGTATCCATGTCATCTAAAACAAAAACATTAATTAATAGCTTGATTCAACTAGAATTTCTCATGAATACTTAAGAATTTCTCCAACAAGAGTTGTGCTCTTGCACAATTTGAGGGGACATACCTGTTTGAATACTGCTTGATCAGGCTTATAAACTCCAGTCATGGTAGCCATCTTTTGCTGTCCATTGCTTGTATTATAGGTAAGAGTTTTACCATTCTGAAGCTTTTCTGCAGCATCAATAAACCTGGCTGCAAAGTCTATACCCAATACCTACAACCAAAACATGGACAATTTTAATGTTAGCCTTTTTTTTCTCCATCAAATGTTACTGAACAAGAGTTGTGAACTTGCATTTTACTATACTAGTTAAAGAATTAAAGCCTAATTAATTGCAGTATGATACTGGGAGAAAACAACTTGCAGAGTTACAAGCTCTAAATGAAGCAGCAAAATCAGGAATCAGTGAATACAGTATATTATTAACGTAGTTATCGAGGTTCAATCAAGGGTATACGGGAATTTACCCCTGGTTTTATTCCATACACCCTGAGGCTGAATACAACCCGGAGTAAATCCCCGTACACCCTTGATTGGACCTGGATAACAGATTTATTTCCTATGTAACCAAATAAATTCTTTGTAAACGCAAGTCCAATCAATGGTGCTTAAAACTATCGATAAGATTTACTAAGTGCTACAATGCATCGTGATGTCATGTTATCTGCTTTTTGTGATAGAGAAACTATGTATTGTGACGTCACATTATTTACCCCTGGCTCAAGCCGGGTATAGGGAAATTTACACCTGGCTTGCTATCCAATCAAATATCGTGTTATAAGCTGGATAGGAAATAATGTATGTTATAAAAGTCACACTGTACATAAACTTTCAGTTTTTGCCGACACCAACCACAATGTGCCGAGTATGAAATGCCTGCAAAATTAAACCTCTTAATCCAAAATACTCTAACAATATTTTTATCTTAACTCACATTCTGAAAGACATTGGTAAGTTCTAGTGGCCCCCTCCCTGTGCCACTCCCCAGCCATACAGCTGAGTTGGTGTCACATTTATATGCCTTCTGTAGGGAGAGGCAATGGTGAGCTACACAATGTGGAAAAGAATCACGGAATCCAAACTCCATCTCCAGAATTCCATACAGAGAGTCCTCAGTATCAAAACCGTACTGGTAATTGGTCGTGGGCACCCATTTAAATTCCATCTCATCCTCATTAGGTACTTCCTTCTCTGCAAAAATTCAATGAAATAAAAGTCTTAAAACAGAATTATTCATTGAGTATGTTGCTTACCATTTGCTCTGTAAATGTCTTTGTTATCCTCTAGACATTACTGTGTGTGCCATTTTACAAATTACATACAGAACTGAACAAGGAACTTATCTCCTTACCTTCTACTCCAACACCCAGAACAAAGACCTCATCCTTGATAAGTCTTGCTGGAACGTCTACTTTGTCTGCTTGTTGTAGAGATCTTGCCATGCGGAATCCAGCATGCTGAATAAAGTGTCGTCTGAAGGCAAATCTGGCAAACTTTGACGCTTCATCACCAGTGGCTATCCAGGATCCACCCTAAAGAAATGAAATTTGCATGGAATTCATTCAACTTTATTCATAGAAACCTGTGATTTCTTGCAAATCATATGCTCAACATAAAACACTGACCAGGATAAGGTTGTGCCTGCCATCAAAGCAAGGAGAGGAGAAATCATCATAAAACCAGTGGCTGTTATAACCATTCAGACCATTAAAGTGGTCTTCTGCCCATTCCCACACATTGCCAAACATATCATGGAAACCAAGCTCATTGCCTGGGTACATGTTGACAGGCTGCAATTAAAAAAATATGTTTAAACATTTGTAACTTTTATCCTTGTTATTTGAAATTTCTCGAAAAGTAGAGCAAGTAACGATAGAAGAAATGAAACTTTGGCTGCATATGAAGTGTACAGACGACATACTGTTGATGAGCCATATTGTAAGTTAATATTGGCCTTTGGTTTCTTCTGGTAAATGATGTCACCCTCTGTTCCTCCATTCTTCATCAACTGAAAGAGTTTAAACATCTGTTAGATACAGTCTTGCTCCTTGAAGATCAGTTTTGAAACTCAGAAGAAACTGTGACAGAAATAACAAACAACCTAACAAACGACCCTCACCTTGTTTCCTTTCATCACATTTCGCTCAGCCTCTGTTGGAAGTCGGAATCCAAAACCCTTCCATGCACAGAAAGCCCTAGCTTGATGGTAGTTCACATCCACTGGCCAATCAAGGGGCATAGGCATCACATCAAACATGGCTCTGTACCTGTCAAAATAGATCATTTCTTTAGCTACAATTCAATTCAAATTAATATACCTATCCCAATCCTTCATTCAGATTTATACTGGTTCACATAAATATGGTAGTCCTTACATGTAATTTCTCTTTTCTCCTCCATTGATGATCTCCCTGGAATGACCATTTGTCAGTGATCCATTCATAACCCCATTACTGACAGTATTGGGGAGGTGACAGTGGGAGTACTGAGCCAAATCAGCCCCACAACCTCCTTTACATCCTGTAAGAGACATCATTAGGTTCTATACATATATATCATTTTAGCTCTTTTGTGTACTGTACCACTTTTACAATTCAAAAAATCCACCCACCACCCTCAGAGAACTGAAGTACAAAATGTACATTGAGATAAAATCTACGTTATCTCTAAATAGATAACATTTTGGTGTACATTGAAAATAATTCCCATATATCCTCACTTGAATTTAAAAAACAAAATTATCCATTGGATTGGCTGCACGGTCCCTTAATTATAGCCCCTCACCGTGATTGCACACCCAGAAGACGGGGTGTTTGGATTGTCTGTACTGCTTCCACTTCCATCCCTCCTCAGTCCAGAACTTCTCATCCTCATACCCCCCACTCTCAACAAACTCCAGGAATTCTCCATTGGTTACCATAAATTTGGAGGCCTCGAATGCAGGAACTCTAAAATTTGAACTTCAATGTTACAGACATGCAGATTTGAGTCAGATCTTAATCACTAAATACAAAGATTTGTTATATCTTTTTCATGCTTAAAAAATTTAACTGTACAGCATCACTGAAAAGTTTTAACGATTTTCACCTGGTGGAAAATTCTCCATATTCATTGTCCCATCCATAGGATGGGAACTCTCTGGGCTTTCCAAAAGTGACATCTTGTGCCTCAACAGATATCAGGGGATTCTCCTCAACTCTTCCACCTGCATTTATCAATCACGTAATTTTTCCAACATATATGTATTCTTTACTCTTGATGTCTTAATAGTAAAACAGATATCATCTTACCACATTTAAATGGGGCATACACCCAACCCTTTGGTTTGGTGACCAATTCAACAGGTAGCTGACGAATCAATACCGAGGAGGTCTCTAAATGGATCCTCTCATGCTCAATTCCCATCAGGATTGCCCACTACAAAGAAACGCCACCATTACAAAATATAGGTTCACGTTTGCAAAATATATTATCCTATATGTTGCTGACTACTGTGTACTATAGCAAAATAACTGCCCTCCTGAAAAGTGTATGTTAATTCCTTAAACTTTTGTCAAAAAAAATTTCAAGAATAATCCACGGTATTTTTAAAAATTACAAACCCATGGTGACTCCATAGTAACAGGAAGTTCTAGCGGTGTGTCGTGTATCACCTTCAGGACCACATTTCGTACATTTCTCCGGTACTCCACCACTGAGTCAACAGATGGCCATTTGTAGCCGCCACCCATACGGTAATTTTCCTGATTACAAAAAATGAGAGTTTAAGAGAATTGAATTTCTAAAAAATAAAATTTGAGCTGTAGAATAAATGTGAATCTTACGGTGTCATCCCAGGACATTTCATCAACACCAGTCTCAAACATTGTCTCAAACTCCAAGTTCACTCGTTCCTGAAAATTAAATGAGAAATGTTTACAATATCAATAAAAACATGATAGAACTTATCTGCACTCTGTATATATAATTATGTTGCTTTTGACATTTTTAATATATGACATATAAAGTAAAATATCAGTTTGTGTCATTTTGAATATATGAGCACTCACTAGAGCCCCACTGCATTTTGAACCCTGGATCCAGGGGAAATGAATTTCCCAATAAATATGTCACTGCTTTTGTACTTGTTTATTTGTTCATAAATTAAAACATCTTAATTTTTGTTACATACATTGATGAGGCCTGCTAACATAAGTTTGTTGACGTACACCACGGCAGTGTGGCAGAAGTAGAAAATCAGTGGCAGACGCAATCTGTCTGGGCATTTGTAAAACACAGAGTCATCTAAAACACAAAAAGACAAAAAATGAATGAACACCATATCTGAAAAAATTCTTTAATTCTCCTAAAAATGAAGAAGCATTCCAGTGATAAACTTTTGTAAGGCCTTTTGAACCCCTTAAAGAAATTAAAATTCAAGCACAAAATGATACCTATACAATGCACATTCTTTTATTAAATATGTTGCTTTCAATGTAACTTTCTTAAAATGTTTTGACCTCAAGTCAAGATCATGAGTGATGACACACCCCAGGTCATAAGTTATCTTTGTGTGAAATATAAACTACTCATGTCTCTCCATTAGAGTTATATATGTGTACTAGAGATGGATTATAACATTTTTCTTAAAGTGACATAAAACTTAACTAAATGACCTTGACCCAGGTCATGTCACACCTGTAGGTGTCAACTAAAACCTTGAAAGTCATTCTTCTCATAAAAGTTATGGACCAGGCATGAATTACACTCTTTTTCCTATCAATGACCTTGAACTTGCCCAAATGATCTTTGGTCATGGGCAGGATATGTCCTCATGTCATAAAAAAAATCTTTGATTTAAGTTCAAACCTCCAGTTTTTTAATTCCATTAAGATAAGGCCAGGGTGGAAATTGTAAATTTTTTTTGTCAGGGACCATGAACTTGCCCCCAAATAAACATGGGTCAGATCATGACATGGCCTTAGGTCATAAGCAATCTTTGTGTCAAGCACAAAAATTAAGAAAGTTATGGACTGGTCACAAAAACACTTTTTCTGTCAGTGACCTTGGATTTCTCCAATTTCCCCTAAGTCAAGGTCATGACACATACTCTCGACAAAAGCAATCTTTGTGTAAAATGAGAGCTTTTAATGTTTCTCCATTACAAAGTTACAGACCAGATGCAACTGCACCAACAGACAGACAAAGCAATTCCAGTATACACCCCAAACTTGGTTAGCCGGGGTATAATACTATAAGGACAGAATTTGATAATTATCACATTATCTAACATGAACATGTTGTACATACTTTATTTGCCATGCATACTACATTGTCTAGAATGAATTAGTAATGCAGAAACAGAGAATATGGGGACTGCACACTCAAAGATCAAAGTGCTTTGTCCCTTTTGTATAGCATTTAAATTTGTCTGGAATTCAATACCTTTTAGTGCAGTGAACAAGCTCTCGTTCAGGTCATAACTGTTCTCAAAATATTCACACAGTTCTCTGAAAATACAAAATCAAAATAATGATAACATCTGTGACAGTTTAATACACATATTGTCATGATTAACTGACACAGTTTTAGGTTAATGGGAAGTTATGAAAAGAGTCACTGGGAACACTTATGTAAAAAAAAATTCTGCAGAAAAAAAGTTACGTAAACAAAAATTCTTTAGTATCATCATTTCAAAGGCATTTACACAATCTTCTGAAATGAATGACTTTAAATGTGTAATCAAACCACTTTAGAAACATATTTGAACATCCAAAAATGACTATATAATCAAACCACTTTAGTAACATTTTTTAAAATAAAGATGCATGAATAGGTAATTTTCAGTCTAAATTTATTGATGATTTTTCATTATGTCACATCTACTACAATTCTAGATATGCTGAATTCAGAACGTTCTCATGAAAAATTTTTAAAAAAGGCAACGACTCTTGCTTTCGTACCAGCATTAAATGACATTTTCTTCCAATGTTTTTGAACAACTTCTGTTCAAGTGTGAATATGGAATTTGAATTTAATTTATAATGTCCAGAGGACTCACTAAGAAAAGTATTAAATATTCATGCATCATGCAGATGGATGTTAATACCTTTTTGTACAATTAGACAAGTCCGGTGGCCTTAATGACTTAAAGGTAAAGTTCCCAGTGAGAATTTTGGACTGCATTCTCGGACACAGTTTCTTTGTTGTGAATTTTAATGACACCAGACACAGCTCAGGATTATTAACTCTAACAGTTCAAGACGTATATATCTCGGTAGCTTTGGCAACTGAAGAGGATAGCTGGACACAGCAGAATGAACTTCCTAAAATTTGTGTATATATATATATATATATATATATATATATATATATATATATATATATATATATATATATATATATATATATATATATATAACCAACAAAACAAACATAATAAAAATAAATAAAACCATGCACACAAACTATAATTGTGTAAACTTCATTTTGCTCTAGCGAATAAAACAGACCTTGATCATTCTTTTCATAATTATAATTTATATATAATTATAATAGCTGTGGTTAATTAATTGGCTCCTTCATTAAATTAAAAAAAATCACTCGTCAAATAAATCAGCATGAACTTGGATTTAAAACTCCGGTAGCTGAACAACATTTAAGAATTATCAGACAATCCATTGATAATATATGTAATTTAATGCTATTACACACATGTACACTGTTGCGCAACTATATAGATGGAAATAATTTAATCAACGCATACTTTCCAAAAGTAAAAATCTTTCTTTAATTGAAGAGTCAAGTTTTTTTTAGATGGCATTACAATCATACCTGTTAATGTGACCGCAACCTACTCGAGTATGGTTTTCTTCTCACTAACCGCGGCAAGTTATATTGACTCACGTGTAGACGACTCACGTGTCAAGGCTTCTAAGCGCGATTGGTCGCACCTCCAGAGTAGAGTTAATTCCATTGGTCCGACGGTTTCACACCCCTGATCTCTTTGCACATGTAGGTCAAACTGACCAGCAAAACAAGACAAAATACAAAACAAACCAGCGAAGTACCGATACTTTAAATCAAGAACATCAATACCTCGTAGAATTTCCAATCCACTTGCCTCACGAAGAAGGAGAAAGTAGATCGATTTTGTTACATTCATTACCCCCTTGTATATTCTTTTCAATAAAACGGTTTGCAATGAAAAGAAACCGGCCCTCAAATTTCCATTTCTTGACAGTAATCACGCATTCTTGAACCATACATTAACAAGGCAATGTCTTGTTTAAAATCCCCAAACTGTTAAATAATTATGCATGACATACACAATGTACGTTGAACAGCGTATGGGAGCCCCGTGGATATATAACCCACGGGTATGACAGAATACGAGACAATGGTGACTTTTTTGCATGGGCCTCAATCGTTGTCTAAAAATGAATTTACAGTTGATCATGTTGATGTCCATATTTAAAAGTACAGAACAGAACATTTATTTTCTAATTTAGAGCCCATAACAGTCAAGTATGAAATTATTATAATAATAAGGAAAAGATATGCCAATGGATAGCATAACAATTTGTAAATGACATTAATTGCTCATTTCAACAATAATATTGTACTATTTCAGTTAAAGGGAATACTATATATAAAGGTGTATGGTTACTACAACATGTTATCATTTATGAATTTGCCCACAAAATTAAGAGTTTCTTTGTCTTCAGTATTGAGTAACTAAAAAAGTACATGTACTTTCACTAAGAGTTAAGGTGACTGGACGTTACTATGTTACAAATCTTGCTAACTTTGGTTAGGGGCTTAATTAAAATATACTCTGTCTCATTCCCCTACATGTTGTTAACAATAAGTGTATTAGATAAGAAAACGTCGGGAAGATATGGTATGGTATAGTGAAAACTAGAGGGATGTTAATGATGGAAAAAGAAAGGACATTTAAAAAGCTAATTTTTTTTTGGTTGGTGTGGACTTAGGAAAAATTTCTGGATCCACCCATGGTGGTGATTAATTTCCGGTTGCTTGTCGGAAATCTGCTTGAATTAAGTATTCTGTTCCTACACATTTCTCGCAAAATCTATGGTGATTCAGATTTCATGTTTCAATTATATGTATAGAAATTAATAATTTACGACAAATGATAAATTAGTTTGAGCTAGCTTGATCATGCAATAACCTCTACACAGATCATCATTTTAGACTATGTTAACGGATACTGTAAACGATATGACGTAAGAAAATTAATGACATGTGGAATTTGCAATCAAACAAGCTTCCAAAACGAGCATTTTTATTTAAATATTGCAGGAATAGTTGACATCTAAACTGCAACTTTACTAATTACATTAATTAAAAATTTGTATTCAGAAATTTAAGTGCGAATCCGGTTTCATAGGCGGGTGTCATCACGATTGAATCTCCGTGTGATAATGGGGAATCATGGCTTAAAAGAAGAGTGAAAATTCGCTCTCTCTGTTGATTCATTAATAAGTGATTTTAGTACTGCACAAAGAAAAAGGACAAAGTGAAACTACGAAGTAATTCGAGTGTATTTAACATAAATTGACATTCTGTATGAAGTTAACAATATTTCGAAAAATGCATAACCACAATAAACTTCAATGAACTGTTTGTAGCAAAAAGCGAGAAAGTTCGTGTTTAAAAAGTTAACCATAGATGCGGCCACTGCGGGTCTCCTTCTTTAGCAGGCTGATCTTGGGTCTTGAACGCTTGGAAATTGGTCCGACATTCTCCTTCCTTGCGATCTGTAGACATCGCTGCAGAAATGTGTAGTTCATATGGAAAAAGAACATGTACAGTGCAAGAAAAGTGACCCAGAAGGACATAGGTGACAGCGTTGTGGCGACATCTTTGAACAGCCGACATATGATAGCCTTCACTTGGAGGTTCGTAAGCTGCCACAGAGCCCCAAGCTTGAGCCATTTGGTGATCTGCATGAACCGCATAGATATTTAGTTTTTAGGTTTCCATTTTAGAAGCATTGTGACGTCATTACAATTGTTACGACACATAAACCTTCTTTGTTACGTCACGTTCTAGTTTATATATACCCGGTACGTATACAGAAAAAAAAACGAAAAAAAAAACACCAGGAAACAATATATTAAATAGAATATATAAATAATAATGATGTAATAATAACATCCCCCTCCTCCGAAAATAGTGAGTAAAATAAAATTTTTAAAAAATGGGATATACGCAAAAGCGATGAAATTTAAACTGCTTAGGGCATGTTCTGAGTAAATGAAACTGCAGGCATATGTTCTTTATGATACATGTATTTGTATTCCATTTACAAAGGTAGTGCGTTTCCATTTTTCTACAATTAAAAAAAAAATTGGGCAACTGTCCGGGAGGTCAACATTACCCCTTGCGAAAAATTTCAACTTATTACCTCTATACATTTCTTCGAAATTTCGGGTGATCTTTACCGCTACATTTTATCAATAAGACCTTTGCCGATTACAAGTCATTACCGCTTCATATCGAATCAGCCAGCAATGCCACTGTATATAAGTTCTTTCATTATGATTCATTATAAGAGATTTCCAGACAGCAGTACTGTACGTCAAGCAAATGGCCTTCAAAGCTCTACAAATGCTCTTTTTTAAAAACTTCCTAAAATGTAGATAGATAGATTTTAAATAAAAAAAATGAGGAAAAATACATCCTGCTTAAAGTCTTACTTTCACCTCCCCGTGGTGAGCAGGGGAAACAGGTCTTATGTATGTATTATTTTGTACTTTTAATCAACCTGTACGTGCATAAGCCGCTGACTAACGAAAGAGGCAATGTAGCGGTAATGTATACTTTTAAATGTAGCGGTAATGTAACCTTTTCTGTATAGGTAATGAGTACCGTATGTAGCGGTAATGAAAATGTAACGGTAATGATATGCCCCCACCTCTCCTTTTTCTGCATAAGGTCTGAAGTACTTAAAAGATTATGTAATCAGTACAGCAATGGGTTTGTTGGTCGGTTTTATCAATATATATTGTTATGTCAAGGTTTTGTTATATACACATACTTATCTTTTATATTATTTAGGAGGCCCGACATACATGTAATTACCGACATAATCCGATTGAGAATTGCTCAAATATGTTTTTACTTGTATATTAGTTTATATTAATTTTGTGTCCAACGTACTCTTTGCTAAATTTGGGAACAATGCTCAATAAATTGGTTATCAAGACCCTAAAACAAAACAGTACTCTTAGCCATTTTACCCTCTTTTGAAACTTCTCTTGACCTCAACCTTTCAATATTAAGATTCATATTCAATAGAAATGTTACCAATCGAGAATCCCGTCCCACCCCACCCAAACGGAAAAAAAATCTTTAAGCGATTTTCGATTTCATTTTTTGCAGGCGATACCATTATATTTTACTACTGTGTGGTCCCTTACCGAAAGCTTTATTTGATAACAGTAACCGTCAGTGCATTGCCCACCCGCTCCCTTTTTCCGACACACGGACAGCTTTTTATTTTGGGTTCTAAAGAAGAAATATTATTCTGTCCTGTTCTGATTTTATTGATAAATAGAAAAATATGTCAGAAAGACATATACATAAGAAATGAATTACCGATATGCATTTACATGCATAAAAAATACGGACGAAGACACACTTCATATTGATATATATATTTTTTGATAAGTGATTGATAATGAGGATAAGAGAAGATAATTGTATAATCACTCTTTTATAAGAATGTAAAACTACATCTCGAGGGAAAATGAATGTGAGGATTCATAATGTAAAAGAAGACAACGAAGAGCGTCCAATCTCACAAATCAAGCAAACAAAACGAATCGTGAACAGGGCAAAAATACGGCCCTTGGAAACACCAGAGCTGAGATCAGGTGCCTAGGAAGAGTTATCATTCCCTGTCGACCAGTCACACACACCGTGAGCCCTATGTATTCATTAGGTAGATGAAGTACCCTAGCAGTGACCAAACAAATGGTATGAAACATTCAGACAAAATCAATCCAACGATAGGTTATCATAACAACCGTAGAATTTGTAAAAAGCTGACTTTAAACTGGGTTGTAAAAGTCCTTGTAACATCAACTTATTTGTTAGTAGCTTGCCTCGGTTTAAAAATTGATCGTACTCAAAGCATGTTCTTGAGTATCGAATATGTTGGGAGACATAAACATTGCTTCACAAATAAGGGAAGTTGACGATGGAAAAGCTGAAGTCATTCTGTATGTTACTGGGAGTATACAGTTATTAGTGGCATTATCGTCGTGACGTCGTCTATAGTCAGTAAAAGTTGTGGCAGAGTATGCAGTGTCTTTTATTTCGAGTTCACTGAGATATATCGAGTTGACATATGAATGATTGTAACCTTTTAGTTTATAAAATGTCGTTGATATATCCAAAATGTTGAGTTAAAGGCCACAGCAAGAATGTTCTTTTTCTTCTCCTTTTCTTCTGATTCACAGTAATATAAGGTCGGCTAAAAAAGGAGCACAGTTAATGCCCATGAAAATTCCAACAGATTGTTGGAAGACTTGGTCTCCAAAAACTACACAAATATTGTCAATGAGGAACTCCATAATCTTTTTGATATCAATTTCAGAGTACTTGATGTAGAATCAGAATAATATCCAATCACAAAATATGAAAATTTACCAGTTCCATTTGTATTGAGGAAGCATTTGCCTTTGATGTCAAAAAGCCAACTCTTTAATTTTCGTGAGGAATGGTTGTATAAAGCGCAGAAAAGACATGCATGTTTTGATGTATCTATGTTTAAAAAGTTTCGAGATTTTAAATTCTTAAAAAATTCTTCGGAATTTTTATAATCCAATTTGA